CACCTCCATGGATGCATAGACCTGTGAAGCTGTTACTCTTCAATCATCTGGGGAAATTGTGAGTTTCCCCTCAAAAGGTGTTGATTTTACATAAGAAGGAAAATAGAAAGAAAAGTCAAACAATAAAGAAGAAAAATACCCTTACAATTAAAAAGTGAATTTTGAAATTGCCTTAAACAATCAGCTTTCGATAATTACAGCTGAAATCTTCACAGCATGATCCAGTTCACACAGTTACACGAAAAGCCTGCACTGAAGTTGTCTATTTATTTCAGGCAGTCCTTTGCTTCCTTATAATACCATAGCACTGTGTGCCCTAGAGATTACAGGCTGGATAGTAAAGACACCATGTTCCAAAGAACACTTTGAGGATGACCTGTGCCTCAACCCTTCACATGAAGTCACTGTTCCTCTTCTAAATGCCTTTAATCAAGAAATTGACACTAAAAGCCTAGTAGATGAAATATAAGGCTGGATTGTGCTTCAGTGTTTGAAAGTTTGTGGCATGGATTTTCAGTCATGATCCCTTTGATAATTTCAACGAATAAATGAGATATATGATAAAAACTTTATATACTGTATTTTATAACACTTACTTTCATAATTGTTCCTGACTTCTGACTTCATAGAAATAACAATCTAGAGATAGATACGTCTTGTTGTAAGTTTCAAATCAAAACAATAATAATTGTTCATCTAAAAATAAGACTTGTTAGTAACTTCTGCTGATTTTTATATTAGCCTTGCCACATGAAATTTTATTTGTCCTGTTTCATCCCAAGTCAACTGTGTTGTGTCCTCTGTGTCTTCCATCTCAGCTGAAATATCTGTGATGATTCCTGATCAATGGTAATCAGATTATAACTTCCTTATGGCTTCCACTGGTGATTTCATGGATACATACTTACATATGTATATGCAAATGTACACAGGATTTTTTTTTATTTTGCATGGATACTTTTGTGTAGGGTTGAACTCTGGGAATTCTTTTGTACAAAGTTATTTATGTCTCTAGCTATGACAATGGAGTTTGTATCACACCTATAATTTCTGGGAATAAACAGAATAAAACTATATTAATCAGATTTTTAGACCTTTCTGAATTTGAAAGCCACTCCTTGACAACTTGGGTGAAGTGAGAATTTAATCTGATTCTATCTTTAGGGTATTCATTGAAGATCATTGTTGAGTCATAAAATAAGAATATTGCCTCCACAGAAGGTGGCAACCATGAAGATTAGACAATCTCATGAACCTAAAGATAGAAAGGTGGACACTCAGGTGCTCAGACACTAGAGAAGATGAACAGAAATATAAACACTCAATTTTCCAAATATGTTGTTCTAAAAGATTTTAGTAATTCACGACTATTCTAGAGAAACTAAGCAGCAAAAACATTTGACTAGTGAATTACCTAATTACTGAAGGATTATGTTATTTTCATAAATATAGAATTATTATGAAATATGTTGATGATGCTTCACATTACCTATCCATTTCCTACCCCAAAAGAGACTCTATACAGAGACTGTTAGAAATATTTCTTTTTGTTTTTATTTTGCCTGATACTACATATTTTACTGAAAAAATAAAATGGAAAAAAAAAACATGAACCCAAGAGAAGATAAACTAACAATGGTCATACAAGTAACACTGATAATGATTTTTAGGATGCAGGTTTTAAATAACTGTGATTCAAGCCGGGCAGTGGTGGAGCATGCCTTTAATCCCAGCACTTGGGAGGCAGAGCCAAATGGATCTCTGTGATTTCGAGGCCAGCCTGGGCTACCAAGTGAGTTCCAGGAAAGGCGCAAAGCTACACAGAGAAACCGTGATTTGAAAAACCAAATAAATAAATAAATAAAAATAAAAATAAAAATAAATAAATAACTGTGATTCCTATTAATAATGGAATTGACTTGCTGAACTGGGTATTGCACCTGTAATGAAGAGTAAAATATGAGTTTAAATATATTGATGTACCATATTTTATAAAACTGGTCAGAAAGTTTATTTTTTATGCCACACAAAATTTGAGCTTCATCTTAACCCTCTGCGTTATTACCATCTGGTTTCAATTATCCAAAAGGCACCGATTTCAGATACAGAGATATTTTTTTGTAGTACATATATGTTTTTACAACATACAACATGTCCAGTTCAACCTAAACTTGAAAAATCCATAGTCAAAAGAGATAGTTGAAGGAAGAGATTGGCAGCATTTCTCAGATCATTAAAGCATGAAAGACTAAATTAGTTTAACAGATGATAAGTGAAGGGCACAGGATTAGTGTAATCAATGGGTCAGGTAAAATTTATATATATATATATATATATATATATATATATATATATATATATATATGTCAATAGAAACTGCCCAGTATAATTCAATCTGCAAAAACACCAGCCTTGGTACAAGAGTTTTGTTTTATTTTTTTCTCACTATCTTTACCTCTTTTTATTTAAAGAAATATCCATGAAGCCTGTGTACCTTGGCCCTCTGAACAACAGTCCAGCAGGTCTTAAGACAACTGATCACTCAATGCAAAGAGTACAGACATCCCACCTTATTTGTCACCATTCATTTTGATTTTCCTGCCCAGTTCCTAGTCTATTCGTGTGTGTAGGTATGAATATCATTTCTTATACCACTGATCACCATGTTAGGATACAGGCTTACACTTGTGTAGTTTATTTATTCAGTATTAAGGATCTGACCTTATTAGGCCTATCTGTGCTTTGTTAAATGGATGATAAATAAAACAAATACATTTATTTGTTCACAGAATGGAGGATATGTGAACGTTGGACCTGCTAGGAACCAGTATACACACACACACACACACACACACACACACACACACACACACACACGTGTGTGTGTGTGTGTGTGTGTGTGTGTGTGTGTGTGTGTGTGTTCTTTAAGGAAAAATAATAATGCAACCCAGAATTGAGAAGATTCTCTGGGGCCCTCTGAATCCTCTTTTTCCCTGGACTCCACCTTGGACCATAAAGACTTGAACAGACACTATTATAATTTCTAGTAATTCAAGGCCAAATTATCTTGGTAAGCAAATGCCTCCTCATACACTGTCTATCTAAAACAATGACTACATTCATAGCAGCATTATTCTTAACAGCCAGACCCTGGAAAGAACCTAGATTCCCCTCAACTGAAAAATGGATAAAGAAAATGTGGTACATACACACAATGATATCATGAAATTTGCAGGCAAATGGATGGAACTAGACAATATCATTCTGAGTGATGTAACCCAAACTCAGAAAGACAAACATGATATGTACTCTCTCCTAAGTGAATACTAGATGTAAAACAAAGGATAACCGGACTACAATCCATAGCTCCAGAGAAGCTAGCTAATAAAGAAGATCCTAAGAGGGATGCATGGATTGCCCTGGAAAGGCGAAATAAATGAGAGCTCCATGAGTAAAATGGGGGTGAGGGGTGGGCAATGGAAGATAAGGGATGGGGGATGAGAACATAAGAGAATGGGATGGTCGAGCTGGAACATGGATGGAGTGGGGGAGCAATAAAAGACATACCTTGACGAGGCAGACATCATGGGGATAGGGAGAAACCTGGTGCTAGGAACATTCCCAGAAATCCACAAGGATGATACCAGCTAGGACTACTAACAATAGTGGAGAGGGTGCCTGAGATGTCTTACCCCCATAATCAACTCAGTGAATACCCTGACATTATAGAGCCTTCATCTAGTAGTTGATGGAAGCAGATGTAGAGATCTACAGCTAAGCTCCAGGCAGAGTTCCAGGACTCCAGTCAAAGACAGGAAAGAGGGATTCTATTCGAGGGCATCAAGATCATGATGGGGAAACCTACAGAGACAACAAAACCAAGCTAGTGGGCACTACTGAACTTTAGACAAACAGCTGTAGGAGCCTCCTTGGGACCGGACTAGGCTCTGCATAAAGAAGACAATTGTATAGCATGATCTGCTTAAGGGGTCCCCTGGCAGTAGGATCAGCATCCATCCCTGGAGCATGAACTGGCTTTTTGGAGCATATTAACTATGGTGGGACACCTTGCACAGTTTTGCTGCAGGGGGGATGGCCTTGGATCTGCCTCCATTGAATGTACCAGGCTCTGCTGACTCCCATGGGAGGCCTTACCTTTCTGGAGAAGGGAATGGGAGGTGGATTGACAGGGGAAGGCTAGGGGAGAGGGCTGGAGGAGGATGTGTGATTGGTATCAAAAATGAGTGAAAAAAAAAAAAGAAAAATAAATGAAAGGTTTCTAGGATTTTCTGTTTATCCCCCCTCAGTCAGAGAGATAGGAATCACTCTGAGAGTTCCAGTTAACAAAGCCAGCTGTGTTTCACACAGAACAACCATCCCCCGGCTACTCTTGTCATTGTTCTGATGTTACCAAGACCTCCTCACATCCTACCTTTGAGTGCACACCCATCTATGTAATAGAGGAAGATGTTAGAAGTAGAGAATAGAGAAGTCGATGCTGGACTCTTTCCCTGTATGAAAAAAAATGTTAATATCTGATGTTGATGCTCTCTCTAGGATCTGGCTTTGATTTTGACAGTAATTAAAATAAAGACTTTCATAGTTTCTGGCAATCCTAATATGCCATATGGACATAGGAAAAGAAATACAATAAGGGTTTTGGGTAATTAAACTTAGGATTTCCCTCTTCAAAAAGAGAGAGAGAGAGAGAGAGAGAGAGAATATATATGAAGATGGCCATAGGAGAGAGCTGCAGAGCAATCTGGGCCCTCCCAGGTCATTTGCTATAAGCAGCTTATGATCTTGTTTCTCATAAGACAAAAGAAGCAAGAATCCTCAATTTTTTTTCCTTTTCATGCCCATTAAAACAAGCCATCATACCAATTTTCTTTCAAAAAATGGTTAATTATTACAAAAATAATCATTGTAAAGAATTAAAATTCTAAACTTGATAAAATGGAAAAGGTCTGGTTTTAGTGATATGGTGAAAGTGAGAAACAATTCTTATCCTGTACAGGAGATAACATTATCATGAAAGTGGTGATCACAGGAAGAGGCACATCTATTGCGCTCCAGCTGTGCTGACCCTTCGGTTTCCCCAAATTCTGGAAACTCTCGACTGCATAATCTGTGGTAGGGAGACTGCATTCATGCTCTTCCCTGAAGTTTAAAAAAATTAGAAGCTTAAATGTTACCAGTTTAACCAAGACAGAAAAATACATTAAAATCAGTGTTTATCATTAAGTGTATACCTATAATCAGTATCCATGGAATCAAATTTATAAGATATATTTCACATGAAATACTTTTAAATAAATAAATGGTATTGAAATATTAAATTACTTACCTTATATTTATCTCTCATAATAATCTTTTAGGATTACCATTTCTCCAGACACAATTTCACCAAATTTCTGTACTTCCTTAGAACATCTGGATGTCAGGTTGCTTAGCCTGATCCTAGAAGCATCCTTTGAAAGTAAACTGTGGTCAAAATATTTTTAATTGAAAAAACTCTCAAACTACTGCTCTATATTATGCCAAATATGCACTGTTTAATGGCAGAGCATGACCAATAGTATAGCAAACATGTGTTATTCCTAACTAAGTAAATCTATTGAATGCTCATAATAGGGAATAGAATATAATTGGAATCTTAAGGCTGGGTGAGGTGATGGATTCTCAGTAAAAGGAACCGATTTAAGCCATAGCCTATAAAAACTGAAAAGGAATGCCACCATCCTGTATTTGCTTACCATCTGCCATGAAATTACATCCATCTATTTCAGGAGGAACAAAGCCAACAGATATAAATTTAAGTTCACCGAGAAGAGTTTGTGTTTACAGCAGTGCCCAGTGTGCTGGTATTGCTTAATAAATGTCAAACCTGATGGATAATATTCATTTAGATGTTACATGGCTGCTTTTACATTTCCCACTGCAAAGCTTTGAATTATAGACAGTGCAGTAAAATGTCTTTATTCTAATTTAATTTCACAATACCTAATTATGGAAGCTTACCATATTCAGTTTAAGTGTCTTAGGACTAAGAATCATTACTATTTGTGTTTTCAATTCAATTGCTCACAGACCAATAAACACTTATTGCAACCTCTCAGGAGCAAGCTGGATGATGCATATGGCTCATGAATTACAACTCCTATCTTCAATAACATCCCAACCTAATGGAAGAAATAGATACAGATGTAATTAACTATAACATATATATCATTTAATATATTATTTTGTGGGCACACATTTTGTGCATTTATCTACTTTGGCTCAAATTCCTTTTAATACATTGATTTTTCTCCTCATCTTTAAATTTAAAAGTTTTGTTAAACTCTATTTTGGCTATCTGTGCTTTACAATTCACCAAGAGCAGCATGTTACTTTGAAACGAGTTTAGGAATATTAGATAAAGATTGTATTGATAAATGAGTACATAAATATAATAATTTAAAATATGTAACAGTGGCAACTATGCCTTTGGGAAAGTGCTTCATTCTATACCTTACAACCAAGGAAAGCTGAGTGAAGTAAACTTTAATCAATATTGAATAAAATTCCAAGTATAAGAAAATAAATGAATGAAATAATAAAAAGTAGCTCTTTTTATCTATGAACTTAAATTTTACACAAAATGCAAAAAAAGAAAGAAAGAAATCAAAAACTCTAAAAAGTGTTCTTATTTTACCATGCAGTACAGTCTGCTGGAGCAACATGATTTCTCATTTAGAATGTATTGTTTTGTGGATTTTGCCCAACACTGTCTTTACATGGAGAGTTAATTAAGCAGAGAATGCTCCATAAAAGAAAAGATATTCTTCTTTGTTAGGAATTTGAGGAAATAGTCTATTAAAGCCCAAGTGACATAAAATTATTTTTAATTACTCACAGGATTATTTTCTTTGTCTTCTAGAACATTCAATCAATTTTGTGACTTTTTTTTTCTTCATTCAACTCTTAACCAGATGGAAGTCTAAATAAAGAAATATTCTATGAAACACTGATATTACCAGAATTTCTTAGAAGGCTACATAAACTTTTTTTAAGTAGAAAAAAATAAACTCAAAATACAGCCATTACTAACAACTGAGTCCCTCCAAGCTCTATCTTTCTGAATTGTTCACTTTGCACTGTGGTTTCCTACCATGAATATTCTGCATTTTCTTCTTTCAAGGACAATTGATTACTTTGGTAATTATAGACTACTGCTCACACAAAAGTTTGCCTGTGTCCCAGTCTTCCCATCTGTAGAGTAGGGTAATTGCCATGTCTCTTCTAGAGAGGTGGAGAGAGAGCCATTAGTACAGAAAACATTCTTCAAGTTGAGTCTAGTGATGGTACATGATTCATAAATCTTGGCTCCACACAGTCTTTGCTTTCAGCTTAAATGGCAGTGTTCTTAAAAAAAATCAGTTCATAAAAAAATCATAAGGCTTGAAAAACCAGAAAAGAGGAATAATAATAGGAAGAGGAGGAGGAGGAAGAAGTAGAAGAAGAAGAAGTAAAAGAAGAAGGAGGAGAAGAAATTCATGAAAATGGAAGCTAATAATTTTGTCACAATGTCTTGTTTGTGCATTTGCAATCTTTATTTACCTAACACTGATTAACTCATTCATTCTTTAATGCATTCCAAAAGCCAGGCACTGGTGGCACTGGTGGAGCACAACTTTAATCCCAGCACTAGGGCAGCAAATGTGGCCAGCTTTAGGCCAGCCTGATCTACTACAGATTGAGTTCCAGGACAGCAGGATTGTTACACAGAAAATCACTTTCCAAAAGAAAAAAAAAAAAACATTCCTTAATATGGCATAATAGTTTGAATAAGAAATTCTTAATACTAGTGGATTCCTGGGAGTACAAAAGAAAACACGGAGTATATATCTGCATTAGTAAAGTAATTAATTTTATTTGAAATTAATTAATTTGAATCCAACTAAGAAATAAAATTTGCCAAATGTCACATTTTCAGGGATTTTGCAAATCCTAGTCTGTATATCATTCAGTTATGATTTTTCAAACACTTGTAAGGCAGTATTCCTTAATGTTTGATTTAAAATAATATATATATATATATATATATATATATATATATATATGAAATCAGACTGAAAATTTTACTAGAAGAAATTCTTCATTAGAAGATATATTCTTTTTTTATTTTAAAAAGAAGTAATATTCAGCATTTTAGTTTACATTCATTTATTTCTGTGTTTTTGTGTTTGAATATGATGGAGTTTGGAGGCTACAATCCATACATTTCTGGCTCTTCTGAAGTTTAGTAAATATATATCAAATTTATTAGACATCTGAATCAAGATTAATTGTAGCACAACTCCTAATTGGTCTTAATAGAAACCCAGAGCCAGATATTGGGTTAAATGCTGAATGATTAAGAGAGAAAAAGGAACAAGCAACAACCACTTCTCACCTCACCAACTCCTCAACTGAAAGGACTGAGATCCCTTCTCCTCCTGCTTTATATTCCTTTATCTACCCAGCCATATCAATTCCTGTCTCCACCTCCCTAATGCTGGTATTAAAGGCATGTGTGCCTCCCAAGTACAGGGAGCAAAGGTATAAGATCCCCTGGGATTAAAGGTGTATGCCACCACTGCCAGGCCTCTATTGCTAACTAGTAGCTGGCTTTGCCTTCTGATCTTCAGGAAAGCTTTATTTGTTACATCATACACAAAAATTACCATAATAAATAATAATAAATAATAAAAGTAAAGTGGAACATTGGGGAAAATAGTGAAATTTTTTTCTTTGATATTTTTTCCTTTTATTTTATTTTACAATACCATTCAGTTCTACATATCAGCCATGGATTCTCTTGTTCTCCCCCCCCCTCCTGCCCCCTTCCCTTCCTCCCGCACACCCCCCATTCCCACTTCCTCCAGGGCAAAGCCTCCCCCAAGGACTGAGATCAACCTGGTTATCTCAGTCCAGGCAGGTCCAGTCCCCTCCTCCCAGACTGAGCCCTGATTAAGCCCCAGGTTTCAAACAGCCAACTCATGCAATGAGCAGAGGACCGGGTCCCACTGCCTAGATGCCTCCCAAACAGATCAAGACAATCAACTGTCTCACCTATTCAGAGGGCCAGATCCAGTTGGGGGCCCCTCAGCCTTTGGTTCATAGTTCATGTGTTTCCATTCGTTTGGCTATTTGTCCCTGTGCTTTATCCAACCTTGGTTTCGACAATTCTCGCTCATATAAACCGTCCTCTTTCTCACTAATTAAACTTCCGGAGCTCCACGTGGGGCCTAGCCATGGATCTCTGCATCCAGTTCCCTCAGTCATTGGATGGGGTTTCTGGCACGACTATTAGGGTGTTTGCCCATCCCATCACCAGAGTAGGTCAGTTCCGGCTGTCTCTCGACCGACCATTGCCAGCAGTCTATTGTGGGGGTATCTTTTTGGATTTCTGTGGGTCTCTCTAGCACTTTGTTTCTTCCTTTTCTCATGTGGTCTTCATTTACCATGGTCTCCTATTCCTTGTTATCCCTCTCTGTTCTTTTTTTTTCAATCATGAATGTTTTTCTATTATAATTCTGGTAACATGGGTTTTGAGGCATCTAAATGATTACTGAGTTTTTCCTCCATCATGAATTGGTCCATGTAAAAAAAAGCAAGAATGCAGTCTTGAATTTGGATTAATCTATCATTTTCAGTCTGTGATATCATTTGAGAAGATTTGGAAAATGGTATCCTGCTGGAAGAAATCAGTCATGAGGGTTGGCCTGAGCATTTATATCTGCACACCATTTCCAATTTACACTTGCTGCTTTATGCTGCAGGACAAGAATCTGAATTCTTAGCTGCCTGCTTTTGCTACCATGTCTGACACTTGTTTCCATGCCACTTTTATGAGGTTCATGTATTGCTCTGGAACCAAGGGCCAAATTAAACCCTTTTCTAAGTTCACTTAGATATGATCTATTACCAAAGCAACATCAAAGTCAATGATACACATTTATGAAATTTTACACCAGAATTTTACACTGATACATATGAAGAGAAGTATGAAACCTAAAAGGGCTACCAAATCATTTAAATGTATGGGACTTTTGTCCATATTAGTTGACATGTATAAACAAAATAAAAGGAGATATCATAATGCTGGAACATATTATTGACACATTTTAGATTTTTTT